CGTTATGAGAGTCGCCGGCATCAGACAGTGACAGCGACGGCGACAGGAACATCAAGAGCGAGAACGACAACGACAAAAGCTGGCCTGTTTGACTTTGTGCCGGCGTAGGAAGGGATTGTCCTGGCAGGGACTGTTGTGCACAGCCTCCGCGGCCTTTCTAGGATAGAACCGCGCTTGAGATCTGCATCAAGTTGGAAGAACAAGCAGAGCAGCATTGGCCAGATCAAGAAGCATTCTGGGCACGATAGAATTGTGTGAGGGTTCTGAGACGTAGCGTCAAGCCGACCTGTAAACCCAAAACCCTGAACACCTTCACGCATGCTTTGGACTGCTGGGTCCGGCTCAAATCTCTTCTTCCCATGACAAGGCGTCGGGGCACAAACAACCCCAGCCCGGTAGTAGAAGTTCAAATCCCCGAGCCCTAAACCGTAAACCCTGGCCCCAAAAATTCCCCAAATCCTTTGTGCATAAACCCTGACCCCCCACTAAACCCTAAACCCTAAACCCCACATTGGAAACACCCAAAAACTTCAGCTTTCAGCGTCCTCGAAGTCGTAGGACAGCGGGGTGTCGACCCTGGACTTAGCCGTGGTTCGGGGTGCTGTGTTGAGGTTTTGCGGTAAGGACCCCCCCCCAAAAAAAAANNAAAAAAAAAAAAAAAGTCTTGGTAATATTTAGGCCCGTATATTAGGTCTAGGGCTCAATGTTTGAGTATGGAGCTAGGTCTTCGGGTTCCAGAAGGTTCCCTGCTAACTGGGTTCCCACGTCTAGGCATCCGACTACTCTGACTTTAGGGTTTAGGGTTTAGGGTTTAGGGTTTGGGGCTTTTAAACCTAAACCAGGTTAAAGGAAACTACAGGTGGGGAGTTTAGGGTATGTAGGGCTTCTATAAGGCTTCAAAAAGGTATATAGACCTTCTATAAGCCTCCTAGAACGGTAACTACCCACCTGAAAATATCCTCAACCAGGGCTCTCTGACCCTGAAACTCCACAAAAGGTTCCGAGCAGAAGGGTTTAGGGTTTAGGGTTTAGGGTTTAAGATTTATCGAACCCGTCTAGCAACCTATGGATCCCTTTACGCAACCTTTATAGCAAAGGATCCCGCATGATGTAAGGGCCTCAATAATAAGACTAGGGTTTCGGGGTCTACTCTACCATAATTTTTTACAAAACACAAAAGAGCTACCATAGGTCATTTTTTAGGCCCCTATATTAGCCCTAAGCCCTAAACCCTAAACCCTAAACCCCTTGTAGGATCCTTTTCGAACCCTTCGCGCGGGGGGGCGTGAAAAGCTGGTGGAAGCCCTAGGTCGGGATTCCGGGCTTCGGGTGCCGCCATGGAGACGTTCTCTAAATTGGGGTTTAGGGTTTAGGGTTTAGGGCTTAGGGTTTAGGGTTTAGGGGTCCCTTTTGGGGGTCCTTTTTATAAGGGTGCCGTACTATAATGGGGACTTAAAAAAGGAACCTAATGTAGAGA